TTTTTTTTTTTTTTTTAAGAAAACAAGCAGTTAGTAAATGAATCGAGTGCAACTCTAAAAGGGGCAAGTTTTTTATATAAAGAATAGAATTAGAATAGAGAGTGCTAGAGTTAGAGGGTCAAATAAAAATGGAAGAGATGTTGAACTATGGTCACTTTAGTAAAACGGTTGGTTCATTTTCATAAGGGATGCCAGTGACAGGCTGTTGCATGCAAAAAATGCAATCTTTTTATTCTGACAGTGATTTATATTACATTAGTTACAGAATAGAACATGATCAATATTAACTTTTTGGGAAACGCAGCCCATGCACACAGTCAGAAGTGAGTGAAAGCTTTCTGTGATTGATTGTTTCTGTCTTGCAATATTTGCGTGTGTTCAGATGAGCAGGAAAATAGTTCGATCCTACACAATTATTCGCTAACATAGGTTATTCGTCCAATTCAATGCATATTGTACGCATTATTTTTTTGTTAAATAAACAAAATCACTTGTAAATAAAATACCTTAGTATCGATATTTTTATTTGAGTATCGATACTTTCGATACTCGCATCAGTATCGATATATCGATACTTCAGGATCGATACGCACATTCTCCATAAGCGTCTAGCGACGCAACAGGAGAGACCGTTCGAAACATGGTTCGAAAGGGAACTGTGATGTCTGACTAAAAATATCTTAATTATTTTTAAATTTGATTATTCCATACTTATTGTTGTGAGTCACAAGCGGATACTTACCTCATCTGACGTAGATTTGGTAGAAATCTTCCTCATTAAAAATGGATTAGGTGAGTTCAAAAGTTTTTGTCCAAACTCAGGCTTAACTGAGGAATAGGCCTAAACGAATCACTGTCACTCACTATATTTTTACTGTCTTCATGTTTTCTTGATGTTACAGTCATGACATTATTTGTCTTTCTGTCTATCGACTAGGGCTAGGCTACCACATAGGTATCAAAAATGTTACTGCGATTCTCTGGTCGTGCACCGGATTTCAACACTTTGAAGAAAGATATAATCTTTTACACATAAAACGTGAGGTAAGATTAGATAAAACACCAGTATTGACTACAGCTTGGTATTAGGGTTGCAAGAGTTTAAAAACATTCCGTTTAATATAGTTAATTATTATTAATAATATATTATGAAATTTCGTTGTTGAATGTTCAGGCATGTTCACTCTGCACAGTAAACTCCATTAGTGCCATCACTTTAAATTACTGAAAAATTCCTAACTTGGAAAACATACATGAAACTACTTATGAAAAATATATAAAATGTAAAGTAAGGTAAATGTGCTGTTGTTGCACTCTAAAGAACCTCTAAGTTGTTTCAGAAGTAACAATTCAAAAGATATCGTGAGTCACTTTCATGTACATTTTACCTTGTTTTACTCTGTTGCTATACTAATTTTGAGTTATTATGACTCCAGAGTAACAAAGGTTCAAGTGTCTAGTTTCAAACAATACCAGATTTATAAATATAGACCATAGGGTTCAAGAGCTACAGACATTTTTATTTGGGTAAAATAAACAAAATCACTTGTAAATAAAATACCTTAGTATCGATATTTTTATTTGAGTATCGATACTTTCGATACTCGCATCAGTATCGATATATCGATACTTCAGGATCGATACGCACATTCTCCATAAGCGTCTAGCGACGCAACAGGAGAGACCGTTCGAAACATGGTTCGAAAGGGAACTGTGATGTCTGACTAAAAATATCTTAATTATTTTTAAATTTGATTATTCCATACTTATTGTTGTGAGTCACAAGCGGATACTTACCTCATCTGACGTAGATTTGGTAGAAATCTTCCTCATTAAAAATGGATTAGGTGAGTTCAAAAGTTTTTGTCCAAACTCAGGCTTAACTGAGGAATAGGCCTAAACGAATCACTGTCACTCACTATATTTTTACTGTCTTCATGTTTTCTTGATGTTACAGTCATGACATTATTTGTCTTTCTGTCTATCGACTAGGGCTAGGCTACCACATAGGTATCAAAAATGTTACTGCGATTCTCTGGTCGTGCACCGGATTTCAACACTTTGAAGAAAGATATAATCTTTTACACATAAAACGTGAGGTAAGATTAGATAAAACACCAGTATTGACTACAGCTTGGTATTAGGGTTGCAAGAGTTTAAAAACATTCCGTTTAATATAGTTAATTATTATTAATAATATATTATGAAATTTCGTTGTTGAATGTTCAGGCATGTTCACTCTGCACAGTAAACTCCATTAGTGCCATCACTTTAAATTACTGAAAAATTCCTAACTTGGAAAACATACATGAAACTACTTATGAAAAATATATAAAATGTAAAGTAAGGTAAATGTGCTGTTGTTGCACTCTAAAGAACCTCTAAGTTGTTTCAGAAGTAACAATTCAAAAGATATCGTGAGTCACTTTCATGTACATTTTACCTTGTTTTACTCTGTTGCTATACTAATTTTGAGTTATTATGACTCCAGAGTAACAAAGGTTCAGGTGTCTAGTTTCAAACAATACCAGATTTATAAATACAGACCATAGGGTTCAAGAGCTACAGACATTTTTATTTGGGTATGTCGTTTTTTTCAGAAAATGCTCAAAAATAGGGGCGCACAGTAAGTGGTTAAGGGTCATTAATTTAAAAATGTCACATATCACACATAGTACCTTATGAGCTACCATAGCATTTGCACAACCACAAAAAAATGACTAGTCACTGCAAGTGCTGAATGTACCTTTAATCTTTCAAAATAGTGGTATGGAAAAATTCTGCAATACTTTTTTATCATGATATGAATTGTAACATCAGTGTCACATTGGCTATTATTTATTTGTTTGTACAAGGCAGACATTTCTGAAAATGTGTAACAAAATGCATTTCTTTTGAAGATTGCAACATAGTGTAATTAACTTTTTTGAAGATAAACGTCAAGTAAAATGGCTCAGATTTGAGATAGGCCACCTCATATTTCGGTCTATATAGCTGTACAGAAAGTAAACAAGCTTAGCAATGTCATAATGCAAGCACTGTCGTAGTGCAATTTACTTAATGCAGTTTAAAAAAAAAAAAAACTAAATCAAATGCCATCATAATGTTTCGTGACACAAATATCAATGGCCCATTTAATTGTATTTCAATATATCTGATTAATCTTTAGTTAACTGTTGCATTCGTGAAATACAAAAATAATAGATAATAAATTGAAAAACGATTAGCTGTATCACAATACCAGATTTATAAATATAGACCATAGGGTTCAAGAGCTACAGACATTTTTATTTGGGTATGTCGTTTTTCAGAAAATGCTCAAAAATAGGGGCGCACAGTAAGTGGTTAAGGGTCATTAATTTAAAAATGTCACATATCACACATAGTACCTTATGAGCTACCATAGCATTTGCACAACCACAAAAAAATGACTAGTCACTGCAAGTGCTGAATGTACCTTTAATCTTTCAAAATAGTGGTATGGAAAAATTCTGCAATACTTTTTTATCATGATATGAATTGTAACATCAGTGTCACATTGGCTATTATTTATTTGTTTGTACAAGGCAGACATTTCTGAAAATGTGTAACAAAATGCATTTCTTTTGAAGATTGCAACATAGTGTAATTAACTTTTTTGAAGATAAACGTCAAGTAAAATGGCTCAGATTTGAGATAGGCCACCTCATATTTCGGTCTATATAGCTGTACAGAAAGTAAACAAGCTTAGCAATGTCATAATGCAAGCACTGTCGTAGTGCAATTTACTTAATGCAGTTTAAGAAAAAAAAAAAACTAAATCAAATGCCATCATAATGTTTCGTGACACAAATATCAATGGCCCATTTAATTGTATTTCAATATATCTGATTAATCTTTAGTTAACTGTTGCATTCGTGAAATACAAAAATAATAGATAATAAATTGAAAAACGATTAGCTGTATCATAAGAGTTGTAAATATTCTCATATATTATAGCACCGTTTATCATGACAAAAAACAATGACCTGTCTACACCTCTGCTTAGCGCAAGGTTAGATCTAATCTCACTTAGGTCTACCGCCAAATATATATGAAAAGTTTATTAAAAGTTAACATGAACAAATTTTGTCTACTTCATCAAGTTGCATTCCAGATTTGTATGTTTAAATATAGATTTTATTGTATAATGACATATAACTTGCCAGAACTATGAGTTAGAGAACATCTACAGATGTTTGCCTACTACTAATTACTATATTTCGAAACTCAAATTTAGGTGTTAATAGTTAGTTTAGGGTAGACATGGTCTTTCATACTGTATTTTGCAAAGAATCAGTCTGTGTCAACACTGTATGAAATCACTGGCGCTCCACCAGGAAACTCCAGTATTACCATTATTAATGAAAAACAGTAGCACTGAGATCTAAATTATGGCATTGTGCTATGAGACTGTGCTGTAACTGCAAACATGACTGCACCAGCAGAGATCAATTTATGTTTTTTAGATTCAGAAAAACAAACTTGACGGTTATTACACTTTTGAAAACAAATCTTGCTCTCCTTTTTGCTGTAGATCGATGTGATTTTTTTTACTGTATTAGATGACGTAGAAAATGACTAAATGAATGCAAACAAACTCGTAACTGAGTTATACCATCAGTAGGTAATGTTGAAATGCATTTTATAAACATCCATAAAGGACATCATAAACTGCAGGTGGGGAAAACATGAATTTAGTATTATGCTTGGTAACATAAAATTAATAGCAGTCACCATTACCCTCTGTACATTGGCTGGTAATGTACATAGCACAGTCCTAAGTTGCTGTTCAAGGCACTCTTGCAGGCTTGTTCACCTGAAATGTTCAGTCTGTTAAAGTTCTCTTGTTTCTCAGTGCAATTCGTGGTTGTTACTTTTCTAGCATGCGATAATGTTTTGGACTAGTGATTAGTGATCTTTGCGGGACGCTGTGAAAAATTCACAATGATGTCATGATTGTGATCACTGCACCAAACTCCAGTGTTTTCATCCAACTGTGATGTGATACTATTCACCCCAAAACACTGATTGACCTAAACCTCAGTCTTTCATTCACTTTGTCCAGTTTATGCACATATGCAGACAGAGCTAATATTTACAGAAGTATAAACAGTGTCTATACACATCTACACAAATTTAAGGGCATATTACTGTACCTTATAGCATTTACATATGTGTACAGCTCAAGGTGTAAAGGAAGTTGATTCTGCACAAACACAAGCAAGCTAAATAGATTTTGATGAAAAATATACATTCTGTACATATGCCTATGCTAAAATTCAGTTATTCTACATAGGCTATATGAATATGTACAATAATACTGAATGTAAACTGCCTACATGATATGCCTAGTACATTGTTGGCCTGTATATTTACATGTTCATGTGGGATTACTACATTGTAAGCAACTACATGCTAGCAACTGCAACAGATAGAATTGCACACTGATAGGCCTAACCAGCACTCTAAAGAAACTAAAGTATTTTTGGCGACAGTGTAAAGTATAAGTACAGTGATGGTAAAGCTACATGGTCCTATTTCTAGAACTTGGAACCTCACTGGGGGAAGAAGGTGCTGTCCATGAGGGCGAGTGCACAGCAGAGAAAGCAAAGACTTCTTGGTTATGAGTGGCAGTCATTGCCGGCCAGTGGTCCATGTCTAAGTGTGGGGCGGTCAGCATCTTTCTGTAAGGGTTAACAGGCACCATAAAACTGCGCTGGAGTACTTGTGAAGTGTCAGTCGCCATTACAGAGGCATGGAAATCAATCTGTGGCCATGAAAGAGGCAGCTGGGAAGCATTCAGACTTTCTATTGAACCTGGAGCCTAAAAAAAGACATTAGCATCAGAGAATCCCTATGTTGTTTAGCACCAAACTTTTAACATGAGTTTAAAGGAGACATAAAATCATCATCACAATTTAATGGAATAGTGGTAAGGGGGTATTTTTAATAACATCACTTCTGTAGCACTCCAGATCCTGGATCTGGTTAGTTGCTGGGGTCTTAGACTGAGGGAGCGTGAGCGTGAAGGAGCCCTCACCCCTTCTGCACCGTTATCCACCAGTCTATGAAGCTGCTGTGTGAAAGCATCTGTCTTGTTGTTGCTGTTGTTAGTCTGTGCTTGGGCGAGACCAGTTGGCTGGTGAGGAGGTGGAGTGGATCCAGGAGGCATTGGGGACTGATTGGAGGCAGCTGACGGTGTTCCAGATCCTATGAAACAAGTCGATTTGTTTGAATATCACAAAACATGAAATACAATCCACAGTGTCTTTGATGCTTATTGAATATGCTTTAGGCCTAATGCTATTATGGTGGTTACAGTATTATGTCCACAAAGTGAAATGTTTTTAACATCACAGCTAACAGCTGGAGCAACTGTGTTAAGGTTTCAGCTTAGCAAATTGTATGTTTAAAGTCTAAAGTTTTGAAATTAAGAAAAGACAATAGTTACTGCTTCCACGTTCTTTACCAAGACACAGGCGTTTAAGTGTTGACCCTACAAAAAGAAAAGTTTAAATTAGTTTTCTGTTGAAAATCACTGCACAAAGAGTCACATAAAGAGGTGGAACATGTTATTTAACTTTTAAAAGTTACAACTGCAATAAAACCTGCATTAGAGGTAATTACAAGTCAATATGTTAAAACACTGAAAATAGAAAAGAATTAAGGTTATGAACAATGTTTAAAGTCATAGTGTTGGTTTTAGGCTTGCAAAAGTGAAATTAAAGTGAGGATGATTAAAGTGAGATTAATGCTGTGAAGCTCAACTAGTGAAAGTATATAGAAGCATAACAGCATTGCCATCAAAAACAGACAACTGAATAAAACGCTGAATTTTGTAGGGATAAATAGAGGATAGAAAGAATAAAAAACACAGGATGATCAAAGATGAAGCATGAATACTGATAAGCGGAAAGATAAATAATTGATTATGGTGAAGAAGAGAGTGGGAGAAAGATAGCAGGGGCTCCAACATATGACATGGAGAATGGCGGAAAGGAGAGAGATACAAACAGATGGACAGAGAAACAGGCCCACTGAGGAATCTAGCGCGTGGTTTACTACTGGATTTATAGGTGACCCGCGCAGACGCCTGGGGAGAAGGAGGCCAGCCTGTGGACAGAATTACAGAGGTGAGAGAAAGAGTGAGATCCACTAACTCAAGCAACCAGTATCGAAGGGTATACACACAGAAAAATTACATTATTTTTTATGCATTCATAAAAATTAATCTGGTTGTAATTCAACTTATTAATGTCAAAGCCTCCATGTAAAACCCGCACTGAATTTATTTAAAATTCCTACATTTGGGACTTAAATTTGGGAATTGTATATAAAAGACTTACAGAAAAAGGTTTTCATAGAAAATTTTACTACTTTACTAAGTCTGCTACAAAGCCAGATTATTTATTTTACTGACGGAAGGATTTTTATCTTAAAGTGCATGCTGAGAAATCAGAATTTAAGTCACCTTGGCCGGGCTGGCTGCGTGGCACAGGTCCTTCTCCCTGGAGACCAGAGTAGATATTGTCGGAGGAGAGAGATCCTTGGAGAGAGCAGGGCTGTTGGGTCTGAACCGGAACAGACACGGAACAAGGTAGAGTCCTGGCAGGAGACCCATTCAAGCTTGGGGCAGCCTCAGCTGAAAGAAGAAAATTACATGTCAAGATGCTCTTGGATAGATTCCAAACGCTAAGATACTTTTTTAGATACCTTATATATGAATGTGATCTTTTAACTTTCCAACTAACCTGATTTTGTTAAGTCATTAGGTTTGCTGCTGTCACTAGTTTTGGAGGCAACATTTCTCAGCTGTTGTACTAGAGGACTGAGCAGTTTGGCAGGTTTTAGTTTGTGTTTGCTGGTCCTGCGCTTGCGTCCAGCAGGGATCACTGTGGGTGGAATATAAAGACCTGGAGGAGGTGGTTTCCCTAATCTGATGTAGAGAAGCTCAATCTCTTCTCGGTGGTGGGTCTCCAATTCAGTTATTTCCTTCATATGCCTGTATAAAGATGAAGCAAGCAATGGTGAGTACCTAAGAATTTTATTTATTGCTCTGATTACTTTTCATTGATTTTATTTTTTATCTCTTCATCAGAAAACACACAGACACGACAAACTCACTTTTCTCTTAGTCTTTGAAGCTCATTCTTTATATCTGAGTCCTCCATCTCTGAGTCATTGTCACTGCTGACATAGGATCCGTACACCCCTCCCTTTCTGCTTGGTGAATCAGAGCTTTGCACACTACTACTGCGACCGGAGCGCCTCAGAAAAGCCACCGCTCTTTTCACGAGGTCACTTCCTCTCCTTTCAGACCTACCATGACGGGATGGGGTTGTGGGTGCCATTTTGGCAGGGCTGCTCTCAGCCCCAGAGTCAGAAGACATGAAACGGGTCTGAACGGTGACATCTGCTGAGACTGAGGTCTGTGTCCTTGGCAGCGAGCCTCGTTTGGTCAGAGGAGGTGGGGCGTCCAGATAAAAGTCAGGTGGGGCGGAATATCTGCTGCTGTGCTTCCTGCGTGTGACCTCGTCTTCTGTGCTGACCACTGAGAACCTGCCGACAGTAGTAGCTAAAACAGTCGGCTCTTCATACATGGCACATTCTCCCAAAAAACTACCAGGGTGTGCTGGAGATTCTGTGCTGCTCAGGCTACGCTGCTTTCGGCCTTGACCTGACAGGATATCAGTGGAGCTAGGCACCATCTAATCCAGAGAATTTAATGAAAAACAGTAGCACTGAGATCTAAATTATGGCATTGTGCTATGAGACTGTGCTGTAACTGCAAACATGACTGCACCAGCAGAGATCAATTTATGTTTTTTAGATTCAGAAAAACAAACTTGACGGTTATTACACTTTTGAAAACAAATCTTGCTCTCCTTTTTGCTGTAGATCGATGTGATTTTTTTTACTGTATTAGATGACGTAGAAAATGACTAAATGAATGCAAACAAACTCGTAACTGAGTTATACCATCAGTAGGTAATGTTGAAATGCATTTTATAAACATCCATAAAGGACATCATAAACTGCAGGTGGGGAAAACATGAATTTAGTATTATGCTTGGTAACATAAAATTAATAGCAGTCACCATTACCCTCTGTACATTGGCTGGTAATGTACATAGCACAGTCCTAAGTTGCTGTTCAAGGCACTCTTGCAGGCTTGTTCACCTGAAATGTTCAGTCTGTTAAAGTTCTCTTGTTTCTCAGTGCAATTCGTGGTTGTTACTTTTCTAGCATGCGATAATGTTTTGGACTAGTGATTAGTGATCTTTGCGGGACGCTGTGAAAAATTCACAATGATGTCATGATTGTGATCACTGCACCAAACTCCAGTGTTTTCATCCAACTGTGATGTGATACTATTCACCCCAAAACACTGATTGACCTAAACCTCAGTCTTTCATTCACTTTGTCCAGTTTATGCACATATGCAGACAGAGCTAATATTTACAGAAGTATAAACAGTGTCTATACACATCTACACAAATTTAAGGGCATATTACTGTACCTTATAGCATTTACATATGTGTACAGCTCAAGGTGTAAAGGAAGTTGATTCTGCACAAACACAAGCAAGCTAAATAGATTTTGATGAAAAATATACATTCTGTACATATGCCTATGCTAAAATTCAGTTATTCTACATAGGCTATATGAATATGTACAATAATACTGAATGTAAACTGCCTACATGATATGCCTAGTACATTGTTGGCCTGTATATTTACATGTTCATGTGGGATTACTACATTGTAAGCAACTACATGCTAGCAACTGCAACAGATAGAATTGCACACTGATAGGCCTAACCAGCACTCTAAAGAAACTAAAGTATTTTTGGCGACAGTGTAAAGTATAAGTACAGTGATGGTAAAGCTACATGGTCCTATTTCTAGAACTTGGAACCTCACTGGGGGAAGAAGGTGCTGTCCATGAGGGCGAGTGCACAGCAGAGAAAGCAAAGACTTCTTGGTTATGAGTGGCAGTCATTGCCGGCCAGTGGTCCATGTCTAAGTGTGGGGCGGTCAGCATCTTTCTGTAAGGGTTAACAGGCACCATAAAACTGCGCTGGAGTACTTGTGAAGTGTCAGTCGCCATTACAGAGGCATGGAAATCAATCTGTGGCCATGAAAGAGGCAGCTGGGAAGCATTCAGACTTTCTATTGAACCTGGAGCCTAAAAAAAGACATTAGCATCAGAGAATCCCTATGTTGTTTAGCACCAAACTTTTAACATGAGTTTAAAGGAGACATAAAATCATCATCACAATTTAATGGAATAGTGGTAAGGGGGTATTTTTAATAACATCACTTCTGTAGCACTCCAGATCCTGGATCTGGTTAGTTGCTGGGGTCTTAGACTGAGGGAGCGTGAGCGTGAAGGAGCCCTCACCCCTTCTGCACCGTTATCCACCAGTCTATGAAGCTGCTGTGTGAAAGCATCTGTCTTGTTGTTGCTGTTGTTAGTCTGTGCTTGGGCGAGACCAGTTGGCTGGTGAGGAGGTGGAGTGGATCCAGGAGGCATTGGGGACTGATTGGAGGCAGCTGACGGTGTTCCAGATCCTATGAAACAAGTCGATTTGTTTGAATATCACAAAACATGAAATACAATCCACAGTGTCTTTGATGCTTATTGAATATGCTTTAGGCCTAATGCTATTATGGTGGTTACAGTATTATGTCCACAAAGTGAAATGTTTTTAACATCACAGCTAACAGCTGGAGCAACTGTGTTAAGGTTTCAGCTTAGCAAATTGTATGTTTAAAGTCTAAAGTTTTGAAATTAAGAAAAGACAATAGTTACTGCTTCCACGTTCTTTACCAAGACACAGGCGTTTAAGTGTTGACCCTACAAAAAGAAAAGTTTAAATTAGTTTTCTGTTGAAAATCACTGCACAAAGAGTCACATAAAGAGGTGGAACATGTTATTTAACTTTTAAAAGTTACAACTGCAATAAAACCTGCATTAGAGGTAATTACAAGTCAATATGTTAAAACACTGAAAATAGAAAAGAATTAAGGTTATGAACAATGTTTAAAGTCATAGTGTTGGTTTTAGGCTTGCAAAAGTGAAATTAAAGTGAGGATGATTAAAGTGAGATTAATGCTGTGAAGCTCAACTAGTGAAAGTATATAGAAGCATAACAGCATTGCCATCAAAAACAGACAACTGAATAAAACGCTGAATTTTGTAGGGATAAATAGAGGATAGAAAGAATAAAAAACACAGGATGATCAAAGATGAAGCATGAATACTGATAAGCGGAAAGATAAATAATTGATTATGGTGAAGAAGAGAGTGGGAGAAAGATAGCAGGGGCTCCAACATATGACATGGAGAATGGCGGAAAGGAGAGAGATACAAACAGATGGACAGAGAAACAGGCCCACTGAGGAATCTAGCGCGTGGTTTACTACTGGATTTATAGGTGACCCGCGCAGACGCCTGGGGAGAAGGAGGCCAGCCTGTGGACAGAATTACAGAGGTGAGAGAAAGAGTGAGATCCACTAACTCAAGCAACCAGTATCGAAGGGTATACACACAGAAAAATTACATTATTTTTTATGCATTCATAAAAATTAATCTGGTTGTAATTCAACTTATTAATGTCAAAGCCTCCATGTAAAACCCGCACTGAATTTATTTAAAATTCCTACATTTGGGACTTAAATTTGGGAATTGTATATAAAAGACTTACAGAAAAAGGTTTTCATAGAAAATTTTACTACTTTACTAAGTCTGCTACAAAGCCAGATTATTTATTTTACTGACGGAAGGATTTTTATCTTAAAGTGCATGCTGAGAAATCAGAATTTAAGTCACCTTGGCCGGGCTGGCTGCGTGGCACAGGTCCTTCTCCCTGGAGACCAGAGTAGATATTGTCGGAGGAGAGAGATCCTTGGAGAGAGCAGGGCTGTTGGGTCTGAACCGGAACAGACACGGAACAAGGTAGAGTCCTGGCAGGAGACCCATTCAAGCTTGGGGCAGCCTCAGCTGAAAGAAGAAAATTACATGTCAAGATGCTCTTGGATAGATTCCAAACGCTAAGATACTTTTTTAGATACCTTATATATGAATGTGATCTTTTAACTTTCCAACTAACCTGATTTTGTTAAGTCATTAGGTTTGCTGCTGTCACTAGTTTTGGAGGCAACATTTCTCAGCTGTTGTACTAGAGGACTGAGCAGTTTGGCAGGTTTTAGTTTGTGTTTGCTGGTCCTGCGCTTGCGTCCAGCAGGGATCACTGTGGGTGGAATATAAAGACCTGGAGGAGGTGGTTTCCCTAATCTGATGTAGAGAAGCTCAATCTCTTCTCGGTGGTGGGTCTCCAATTCAGTTATTTCCTTCATATGCCTGTATAAAGATGAAGCAAGCAATGGTGAGTACCTAAGAATTTTATTTATTGCTCTGATTACTTTTCATTGATTTTATTTTTTATCTCTTCATCAGAAAACACACAGACACGACAAACTCACTTTTCTCTTAGTCTTTGAAGCTCATTCTTTATATCTGAGTCCTCCATCTCTGAGTCATTGTCACTGCTGACATAGGATCCGTACACCCCTCCCTTTCTGCTTGGTGAATCAGAGCTTTGCACACTACTACTGCGACCGGAGCGCCTCAGAAAAGCCACCGCTCTTTTCACGAGGTCACTTCCTCTCCTTTCAGACCTACCATGACGGGATGGGGTTGTGGGTGCCATTTTGGCAGGGCTGCTCTCAGCCCCAGAGTCAGAAGACATGAAACGGGTCTGAACGGTGACATCTGCTGAGACTGAGGTCTGTGTCCTTGGCAGCGAGCCTCGTTTGGTCAGAGGAGGTGGGGCGTCCAGATAAAAGTCAGGTGGGGCGGAATATCTGCTGCTGTGCTTCCTGCGTGTGACCTCGTCTTCTGTGCTGACCACTGAGAACCTGCCGACAGTAGTAGCTAAAACAGTCGGCTCTTCATACATGGCACATTCTCCCAAAAAACTACCAGGGTGTGCTGGAGATTCTGTGCTGCTCAGGCTACGCTGCTTTCGGCCTTGACCTGACAGGATATCAGTGGAGCTAGGCACCATCTAATCCAGAGAATTAAAATTAAACAAAATAAAAAGACAAAACACTGATATGACAAGAATTATTTCACATATTACATTAACAAACAACTATTACCTTATCATACAAAATGAAATATTTGGTACCAACACAAAGTAGAATTAACAATCTATTAACCTGTATTTTCCTGCAGAAATTATGAGCATGCTGTACATGATGTGTACCTTATATCGACTTCTAGATCCAGAACAAGAGGTAGAGTGTGGCATCACAGGTCTCCTTGACACAGTAACTGTGGAGAAAGATGGCTTTAATTTTCTTATTGTTTGTAAATGATAAATGTTTCAGGAGAAAAAATAAGATAAAAATGAAATATTGTCTTACCTGCAACCGCAGAGTCGCTTAGAGCACTTAAACTGTCTACACGCTCTGGAATCTGTGGCTAAAAGACAAAAAGCAAATGTTTTTAGGTGGAGATTCATCAAACACAATCCTATCTAAATTTGAAATATCTTCAAATTCAAAATGGTTTTTAAGACACGCTGAAAACAAGGGAATAGCTACTGGTGATAGGTGAGTTCATACAAAAATGTAAGTACTTGGGTACCCATGCCTCACACCTCAATAAAATGTATCTATTAAAAAAGCATAAGAATGACAGA